GTTCATTTTCTTCGATTCATCAGCATCAACGACCATTAGATCTTCCATTGAACCCTGACTTTGCATGTACACTCTCAAACACAACACCAAGAGGCGAAAGAAGAGAGAAGAGCAAGAGGCGAGAAGAGGTGGTCGGTAGTTGGTGAGTGGCGGTGTCGTCGCGAGAGGAGAGGGAGAGAGAAGAGCGTATGAAAGAGAAGGAATATCTCTGAAATGAGAAATAGGGAGGATTTGGGCAGAGATGAAAGAGGAGAGAGGAAGAGCAAAGGCTAAATCTAGACCATCTAGAGTGAATAACAACATTGATCTCAACCATTGAAATGTCCTTGTAGGACAAATGAGAATGAGACATTTTTAACCCTTGGATTAAAACAATCTAATGATTCACATTTTGACACATAGACATTTTCAATTTTGCATTCAAAATTAGCCTTCCATTGTTATATAGATGTAAGTCTTGCTCAGCAAGCTGAGGTGACACGTAGCTACCCATGCACCCCCTATTTAGCTACTATTACTAAGCTATTCAATGGATAAGCTTAACTTAGTTATTTATTTATACTTTAACCCTTAAATTCTTAATAATTATATTATTTTACAAAATTATATAAAATAATACAAAATAAATCGTATATTTTTCTAATTGTGATTAAATAATATTAATATAAATTTTACAGAATAATTAAAAATTTAGATTGTTACAATCTTCACTCCTTTTAAAATTTCGTCCTCGAAATTTGTCATATGTGCAAGCTATCTGCTGCGCATTCTGATAAATACATATTAGATGATTAATCTGATAGAAAATATTGCCTCAAAAATTTTACCAAAAACAACTCACTGTTTGTTTGTCAAAAATTATTTTGAGCCAAAATGAGAAACAATCGGTAACTTTAAAAAAAAATTCATTGGTTTTATTTTTGAAAAGAAAAAAAATGAGAACATAATTAAATAAGTGACTGGAAATGAAATAATAGAATCATATGCAAGATTTGAAGGAATTTGAGATGAACTTCCATTCTTTTTATCCGTGAATCTTCCATTGATAGAAAATAGCTTCAAAATTAGTATCTTTAAAATTTAAACCCACTTGTAAAATGTCCATTTTTTTTTGAATACTGAACTGAAAATTATATGTATTTAATTATATTATAATTTTGGTAGATACTTGAGCCCGACACCCTCTATATATTTTCTTTTTTTTGCTATAACAAATAAAAATTATATATAATATCCTTCACAAATTATGCACAAAAAAAAAAACAAAAATAAATAATATACATATATAATCATATAAAATTATAATATAATTAAATCGACTATCAAAATATAATATTAGGTACTAATTACCCGCTATCTTACTTCTTAAATATGCGTGTGTCCTATGCTCCAATGATGATTTATTTATTTTTTTATAAACCATTGCTCTGATATCATTCGTCACGACCTGCTCCCCATACCCAAGGGTTAAGTATCGTGATGGCTAATAACTGTAGTTACCTCCGGCCAATTCTTGAACAAATTAATAAACGCGAGCGGAAATAATATTTAAGTGAGGGTACCAAAATAATTATCGGAGTTTCTATTTTTATTACAAAATTTTTTGACCAAAAGGCTGATATTTACATATAAACATATCATAAAAGTGCTGTGTGTGTCTATTTCGCAGTCCCGCGTCTAAGACTTTCCAATAGCTATTTCTGAATTGCATTATTTTTTGAAAATTGGTAAACAACTATAAGCACATGGCAGAGTGAGAAATATTATGCCACGAGTTTAAGGGACACAAAATAACCATAGATAGTTATGTAACTAAAATATTTAAAATAACTTAGTTTGAACAAATAATCATTTAAGTAGCAAAATTGAGATTATATAAATAAATAACCATGACCACGGTACCGAACAGAACGGAACTGAGGTCATAGGAGTGACAGTCAGAACAGAGATACGGATTCAAGAGGTGGCTCGTATGGATTATAGAGGTGGCTCCCACAATAGTGTAACACTTATCTCTGCATAGCACTTTGTTTCACACAGAACAGAGGTCAATAAATCAATGACAATAGAGGGCCATAAAGTGACCAAACATAGGTCAATGTTTATTTAAATTCCCCAAGGCGTGGGACTGCCGTGGCGGTACTTACAAAACATAATTATTTATAAGGTTATAGTTAAATATTCTTTAAAAGTTAAAAAAACATATCCATAGGTTTCATTTTAAGCAAATAGGGCTCAAAAAATAATCCACGTAATTGAAATATCAATATAATTTATAATAATTTATAAAACATAACTTGTATAAAATAAATTATGGTAAGTCAAAACATACATAAAATATATTATGATAAGTCAATATATAATATAACTCACCTTAAGATTGAATCTTACTATTTCCTTCGTATTTTTCCTATCTTTCCGAGACTATTTTTTGGCTCATTTTTTTCTTTTCCTTTTTTTCTTTTTATTCTCCTCCTCTTGTTCCCAACTCTTCCTTTTATATAAGATGTAAGGCTTGCTCAGCGAGCTTAGGTGACACGTAGCAATCTACGTGCCGTTTTGGCAACGCAGCAAAAGCTGCGCTTTGAACAACTTTCCAAAAATGTTAACCCTTGCAAAAACGCCACTGATCCTATTTGAGAAGATCCAAAAAAGTCACTTACAAATTTACAAAACTATCATTTGGAATATTATAATTAATTAATTCAAAAAATTATTGACATGCAAAAAGTAAAGATATTTTGATCATTTTAGAGTGATGTGACATTTTAAAAAAAATATTAAACCAAAAAGTAAAAAAATTAGCTTTTTATCAACTTCCCAAATCACTTCCAAAAAAGTCAAAAAGTATGGTAAAAAGTTAAAAATCAACTTTTTACCAACTTTCCAAAACACCCCTACGTACCCCTCTATTTAGCTGTTATCACTAAGCTATTCAATGGATAAGCTTAACTTAGTTATTCATTTATATTTTGACCATTGAATTCTTAATAATTATATTATTTTATAAAATTACACATAATAATACAAAATAAATTGTATATTTTCCTAACGTGATTAAATAATATTAGTATAAATTTTACAGAATAATTAAAAATTTAAATTGTTACAGTATTTATAATTTACCCTACAAAAAATAAAAGGTTTCTCATTAGCTGATTCTTACCAAGGGATTGAAAAATTAGTTTATCGTACACAAATTTAAACAAATTTTAGACCAAAAAAAAAATAAAAAAGAAGGAAGGAAAACAAATGTACCTCGCGATTTTCCTTCAACGAATTGAGGTGCCGTGACGGAGACTTCTGAAGTGTGGTATCATGGAGTTTGTTATGCAATAATGCAATGGGAGGTTGATTATGGCTTCTAATCAAAGAAATCCCTTTTTATAAAAAAGGAAATCCTATCTTAACCACACAAAAAATATAAAAACAAAGTAAATTATGTTCATCTTCATTAATAAATGGCAAAATAGTTTTAATATATATATATATAACAATCACATATTTTGGTTGAATGTAGTTATTGGCCATACAGATGTGGTGATCAAAGGTTATTTTCAGTAATTGGAGATGATTATTTATTGTCGAAGATTGTTATTGTCTGTTGTTGGTGGTGGTTGAATGTTGCTAACGTAATCAATGATAGTCAATCATAAGAGGTAGTGGTCGGAAATAGATTCTGGCAAGACGTGGTGATTGTTGTCGTAGATGGAAAGTGGTTTTAGGGAAAGTTGTTGTTGTAGGGTGAATGATAGTGGCGATTAGTTGGTGGTGGTAGCTAAAAAGGGTAGGAAAAAAAAAAAAAGAGGGAGAGACAAAATCATAAACAAATAAAATTAGATTATAAACTGTTAGTCTTAATAAATTGTTAACTGTATTGCTAGACTAACATAAATGGACCGTCTTTAGTTGAAAATTCAATTGGATTAGACAATTAAGATCTATTATTAGTCAGAGTTAACGAACGAAAGTCCATCAATCAATATTAATAAAAGGATTCAATTAAACTAATAATTAGAATTTTCATTAATTTTGACAAACTCTAACCTGGTTAAGGTTAAGTTAAATTGAAATTTCAATGGGAGATAAATCATTATAAATTAAATATAGTATGATTACCACAATATAGTATAAACTAATTACAAGTTTTTAAAAATGAAAATAAATACCAAATAAATTTTTGTTTACAAATTATAAAATTTATTATAAATATAAATAAAAAGTTGTAAACATAAGTATAATCAAACAAGATCGTTTGATTTTAATTAAAAAAAAAGAATATATATTTTAGATTAATAACTAATTTGATAAAAAAAGAGAAAAATAGTAAAGTATTTATTAATGTTAAATTAATTTATACTATTTTTAATAAAATAATGAAAAGAACAAACAAAATATCGTTTGGTTTGTATTTGTGAAAAATTTTTGAGAAATTTTTTCTATAAATAAGTTTTTAAAAGTAATCAAATCAAACAAATTTTTCCAAAAAAATCTCTCAAAACTTGTAAACCAAACAAGTTTTCCAAACAAATCTCTCTCTCACACACATCAAATCAATCACTTTTTCCAAAACTCTCTCTCAAAATAATTTTTCAAAACATATTTTGAAAAAAACCAAACCAAACAACTTTTCGTACTTTTTATCTTTAAAATACATCTCTCAAACACAAACCAAACATACCCATAAAATCCAACCAGAATGAATTTATCCAAAAAGCGGACAAATAGCCGCCTTTATTTATGACCTGGCTCGTATTTTCCCGCGTCACTTTCTCTCCCCTCCCCCGACCCGATTCTTTCCTTCTTTACCAACTCCGCTTCTCTCTTTCTCTCTCTATTCCTTGCTTGCTTTATAATTCACCTAAGGACCCATTCAATTCAACTACCCCTTTGACTCCATCAAGATCATTCAAATCTGCTGGTTGTTCAGTCTCATTATTTTCATTGCATTAGGTAGAATTTTGGATCTATTCCTTGGCTATGACTCATTCAGATAGTTGTCTATCATCTAAAACCTCTCCCCCACTCTCGTATGGTGATCTCTTCTCACCCGTTCCTCCACCATGCGGTTTCTCTCTCTCCTCCTCCTCCTCTCTCTCGTCTCCTCCGCCCTCTCTCAACCCCCCAGAAGTAACAATCTAATCACTTCTCTCTCTCTCTGTCTCTCTCTCTCTCTCTCTCTCTCACACACACACACACTTATTCTATCTCTCTCTACATGCATATATATTGATGATGTATATATATATATATATATATTTCAGGTACACTGATTGATTGCGGCGCCACCGTCCCCACGGTGATCAACGGCAGCAAATGGCTTCCCGACGCCGGTTTCATCTCCGCCGGAACCCCCAAAAACCTAAGCACTGCCGTTCTCCTGCCAATCTTGTCCACCGTCCGATCGTTTCCTCTCAGAGGCAATCTTCGCCGGAAATTCTGCTATGACGTGCCGGCGTACCGCACCGGGAAGTACCTAATCAGGACCACGTACTTCTACGGCGGAATCAACGGCAACAATTCGCCCCCCGTGTTTGATCAGATTGTGGATGGAACTTTCTGGAGCTTGGTGAACACTACAGATGATTTTTTGCAGGGGTTGTCTTCGTATTACGAGGGGGTTTTCGTTGCTACAGGGAAGTCAATAAGTGTTTGTATTGCTGCTAATACGTACACCGATTCGGACCCGTTTATATCGGCTTTAGAGCTTGTGCTTTTGGCCAATTCGCTGTACAATTCGACAAATTTTGGCACATATGGTTTGAGATTGGTTGCAAGGCACAGTTTTGGGTATAATGGATCGATCATTGGGTGAGTTTGTCTTTCAATTTTTGGTTTGTCTTGTGTTGTGGTTGACCAGTTTACCCAAATTTGGTTTGGTAATTTAGCAGAATTTGCTGAATTGTTATAAGGAGTACATTAGCTTAGTGTAACCCTGTAGTTGTATGACCATTTATTGGCTCATTTTTAATGTTGGCTTACTCATAATTTTGATTGAATTGTCATAAATTAGTACCCATTCGATGGGATCTGGGAGAGGTACCTAACATTTGGCATAATACGCATAAAGTGGCTGCCCTAATGTGTGAACCTACAACTTTAAGTTAACATGCCAAGTTTTGTTCTATATAACGAGGAAGGTCAGTTTTCAAAAATGTCTTAGAGACACAAGTGGTTAGATTATGTGAGATTACGTGTTTAATGTTCATGTATGTACTTATTCACTCAGTTATCAAGGTGAAAGTAACTAGGCCTTGTTACGTATAAAACAAAACAAAATCCAATTTGTTTCTTTGTTAGCTGCACTTGCTTGCTTGTATTTTGCGTCTGAAAAACAAGAAATAACTTCCACAATCTGAGTTAGATAGTACCTCCATTACAGGGAGGCAAGTATGTACTAATAGATTACCAAATCCTTAAATGGCTTGAATTACATGTGGTTCTAAGTTGTAACAAACATTTCCTATAATTTTGACATAAAGGTTGTTCTTGTTGTGTATATTGGCTAATGTTGATTATTATTTTGAAACACCAGATATCCTGATGATTTATTTGATCGTTATTGGGAGCCATTTGGAGAAAATAATCCTACCATGGCAAGTGGCAGAGACGTTTCTGTTTCTGGTTTTTGGAATCTCCCCCCTTTGAAGATATTTGAGACAAAGTTGACAACTTCTCAACCAGTACCTTTGGAGTTCAAGTGGCCTCCAACATCTCTTCCAAACTCGTCATACTACATTGCTCTTTACTTTGCGGATGATCGCAATTCATCTTCTAGGGTTTTCAATATAAGCATAAATGGCATAATTTATTACCAAGATCTGAATGTGACTTCAGCAGGCGTTGTGGTTTTTGCAAACCAGTGGCCTCTTATTGGCCTTACAAAGATAACTCTGAATCCTGCTGCCGGGTCAAGCATCGGTCCATTGATTAATGCGGGAGAGGTTTTCGAAGAGCTGATCCTTGGTGGAAAAACTCTTACACGAGATGGTTTGTTTACTAACACCCCATGCTTGTTTTTTATTTCCTTTGCAATCAACCTGGTGCTATTTCTATGAAAATATCACAACTTTCTCTTGGAATATTTCAGCTATGAATTGGGCACATCTTGGATGATTCACCATGATCTAACGCTGACATTATAGTTAATCAAAATGAAAAGGAAAATTGTGATAGATGATATTGAGTTAAGATCATTCAAATCTGCTGGTTGTTCAGTCTCATTATTTTCATTGCATTAGGTAGAATTTTGGATCTATTCCTTGGCTATGACTCATTCAGATAGTTGTCTATCATGTTAATGCTCTGAATAGATTAGCACATCATCTTGTGCATTCAGCAGTTTTTTTGCCTATTTGGTGGATATAATAGCAGGAGGGAGGGAAAGGGATAGGATGGGTAGATTTTCCCTCGTTTAGTAGGGAGAAAAGGTAGAGGTAAAGAGAAGATGAGCTTGAATATCGCTCTCATGACTTGCTTACTGTCCAAATGTGGACAAGGTAGAGGGAGGAAAGAAGGGAACCTTCTACATATTTCCTTTCCAAACTACACCCTTGTGATAGCGTGCAAGGGTATGATGCTAATCTTTCCTTCCATTTCCTTTTTACTCAACCTAGCAAGTGGAGAAAAAACAATACCGTTTTTCTTCCTCGGGCTACCCTGTACATCTCCTATATTGGCCTTCCTTTCAATTTTCATCCCTCCTTCCAATGAAACCTTAGACAGGTGACTTGTATAATTGTATTTAGCCAGGAAAAGGTGCCAGCTTTATCCAGTCTCTTGCCAAACTATTTTTCTTGAGTTCTTCTTCACTTTTTCTATGAATAAATCAGTTTTGTTCATTGCAATCTTTACATGGAAATTGCATTTGTTGTTGCAGTAATTGCTTTGGAACAAGTGAAGCAGAGTTTCCAGAACCCTCCAACTGATTGGAATGGTGATCCTTGTTTACCAAGTCAGTACTCATGGACTGGAGTTACATGTTCCGGAGGACCCCGGATTCGTGTAGTTGCCTTGTGAGTCTCTAGAATTGTAATAAATTTAAATAAATAAGTAAATTTGTTGGCCTTGTTTCATTTCATACTGCATTTTTTGTTTTACCTTAACAATCTGCTTAATTTTTCTCTTGTTCACAGAAACCTTACAAGCATGGGTCTTTCAGGATCACTCTCACCTAATCTTGGCAATCTAACTGCATTGTCTGACATGTAGGTTCTTAATTTTTTTCTTGGGTTACTCTTAGAATTAACGGACCAAAATCTGTTTATTGACAATCTCATTCAATTAACAGCTGGCTTGGAAACAACAGCTTGTCAGGAACTGTACCTGATTTCAGTCCGTTAAAGAGATTAGAGAGATTGTAAGTCATGAGTTCCTATTCTGCTTTCTTGCTAGCCTTCGTTGTTTATCTTTTTAGTGAACAAGATGATTGCACTCAGAAGTGATAGCTCAATAAGCACCACTTAAAAAAAGAAAGAAAAATTATTTGGGTCCAATGACCTGAAATTTAGAATTTTAAATGTTTGTAGCATATGATAAAAATTCCATGTTTTTGAGAGTTCCTTAGTTATTGCAGCTCTTCTGTGTGCAATGTATGTCAAGTTGTGTGGGCTGGGACTTCTATGATTCTCTTTTGAATGTTTGGATGTGGTATGTGCTTTTTCTAATTTGTGCTCTATTTCATTATTAGACATTTGGAAGACAATCAGCTTAGTGGAGAGATTCCCCCATCACTTGGAAACATTAACAGCTTGCGTGAACTGTAAGTTCCACTTTACAGAATACAATTAAATACATAACCATATTGCGACTTATGTCTTTTTATCTCAGTTTCCTGTTCTATAGCTGCTTTACACAATTTTTTTTTTAAAATTTTTATTTTATCATTCTGAACTCTGAAACCAAGGTAATTTAAAGCAATGAATGAATGGTTCCTTCGACCACATTTCATTCTAGTTAAAAGTTCTAGGCTTGTGCATAAGGATTATTTCAATTGTAAATGCTAGTATAAATGTCTACAAACTTCTTTGAAGTCTTGAAGTTGGTTTGATGTACCTAGTGTGCTCCATTGTTTCATCCTATACATAATTTTTAAAAAATTTCTTGCGTTGGTTCCATTCATTACAGTGTAGGAAAGAGCTTTCTGTAGTGGTAGCAGGAAAGTGGATGAATCCCATCCCCTATCAAGTAAAGTGCTTATGGTTCCTTGTGTTTGCTGCTACAGAAATTTTGATTCCTAAAGTACTGCTATTATTGGTTCATTGGTGAAACTAAACCTGCATACCATTATACTCTGGAGTGAGGTGTCATAGTAGCCTTTGAGGAAATCAACTCTAATTCAATACAAACCATGCACAAAGCGAACTAGATAAGATTATTTTTGTCCTTGGATGTAAATCTCAGCAAGATCTGAAATGAGTTTTTGGTTTTTCTGGTTCAATGATGTTACTACTAGAGGACAGAGACATGTGTAGTAAGTAATCTTGAATTAAAAGTTACTTTAGATAAAAGCTTCCAAATATAAAAAGTTTCTTGATTTATAAGTTTTTTTAGATTGGTAAAATTCTCCAAAATCAAGAATTTTTATTTTGAAAACAAAGCAAAATTTTGAAGCTCATATGTGCCAATTGATGTCCATGAAATGTTCTATTTTTAATTCATACTTAGGAATTCCAGTTCATATAATTTTTTATGTTTTCACGAATCGTGTATATGTTTTCTTATCAGTTTATGAATTTGTTAAAATATTTTTTCTTAGCACACCGAATACATTTTTTTTTTTTTTGGGTCTCAGTTTCTTGCAAGGTAATAATCTAACTGGTCAAGTGCCAAGCAACCTTATAAAAGCTGGGTTGAACCTTAAGTAAGTACACAAAACTGAACATTCATATTTGTTCTCATTTTATTTTCGGCTGTTTAAGCAATTAATGGATTTCTCTTTCTTTCTTAGGACTTCTCCTGGGAATCAGTTTTTGTCACCACCGCCTTCTTGAGTTAATAGTCTATGCATCTGAAGGTACACGCCTCATGGCTGGATCAATGGGAAATTTTACATGTTTGTGTTTCTTGTATACCCGAAATTGCATACTCAAAATGGCTGTCCATGTATAGTTCCATTCTTTCCTCATTACATGAAATTGTAGTGTATTCTCAAGTTGTATGCCAAATGTTGTCCATATACAGTCATTTTTTAAATTTTTTTTCTCTGTTTGAGAAATGTATTTGTAATTTCTATACGTGTGAGATAGTATGTTTTGATTTTGTTCCTTGTGGCTTCATTATTTATTACATATGGTATCAAATATTAGAAGCGTGAAATAGCTTCTTTCTTCTGTTGGCAGTTAACTATTCTACCTTACTTTTATGTTCACTGATTGTTGGGGTTTCTGATCTTTTCATCTGAAAGTTTGTCAAATTTCTACAATTACAGGCTGTTGCTTTTATTATTTACTGTCAACATTCCGTTAGCTTTTGTTTTCTCATCGTTTGTGGAAATTAAAAACAAACAGCTTTATTATTTTTTGGCTGCGCCACTTCCACTTTGCAAGTAAAGTGGTGAGGGAAAAAGTGAACCTTATTTGGTTGAGGGATTGGAGAAGGGATTTGGAAAGGGAAATGAAAAAGGTAAGTAAAATGTGAAAAAAATATACTTATATTTTACATAGTTTCACATTTTTTTTTTCTCTTTTCAAATCTCTCTCCAAATTCTCTAACCAAATACAGCATAAACGATTGAGAGAAACTCAGAACTGTTTTACGGAGAAAAGAGACTAATTTGGTAACAGCATGTTATTACTCTGATATTTTTCCATAGCCTCCCCATCTCAAAATTTTGATGCGTTGTTTCCAAAGCTGCTATGATTTGTTGTTACTGCCGGGCGTAAGGCAAATTATATCTGACTCTTGAGCACCTATAGCAACCTAATATATGGTTTGGTACTGTGTTATCAGAAAATGTTAATATCTTAATGAATTATATATTGGTGTGTACGTTAAAAAATATGGTATATTTTTGTTTTAAAACGGTAAATTTAGTGGTTTAAAAGTAATTCCCAAAAAAATAAAATATAATGAACTAAAATGTAAGTTGAATTAAGTTTTGACAAGATAAAACATAAAAAATGATCATAATGCTCATAAAAATGTATTGTTACATGAATTTTTTTTTTAATTTTATTATGTCTAATATTTAAAAGAAAATTATTCAAGAATTATCTTAAATTCTTGAGTGTAATATATTCAAGTCTAATCAATTGTACCACATTTTAGAGCGTGTGATATACTACATTTCCGTTTCCATTTCCATTTCCGTTCTTGTTTCACATACCGAAACGATCCACGTTCCAAGTAATATAGGTTTGGTAGTAGTTGTACTGTTCCTTTTCCCATAGTGTGCTTTGATCTTTGCAATAATCTACCTAATGGCTAAGTGCCATTTTGGGAACATGGTAAAAAGTTACGTTTTTAGACAAAATATCTAAAAACGTGGCTGTCAAAAACGCCAAAAAAGTCATTTGGCAAGTGCTAAAAACGCAGCCCTAAAATTACAAATTAGGGCCTATGAAAAATAAATAAAAAAAATAACTCTCTTGTGTTGGGTAAGGGTATTTTGGTCATTTTAATTTGATTTGACATCATAAATAAGTATTAAACTAAAAAGCAAAAAGCTAGCTTTTTACCAACTTCCCAAATTACTTCCAAAAAAGCCAAAAAACTTGGTAAAAAGCCAAAAGCCAGTTTTTTATCAACTTCCCAAAACAACCCTAAGAAGCACAATCAATTCTAAAAGGGTGTCGTGTCCTTGTTGGACACTTCTTTAACATGTGTTCAACGCTCATCCAAATGTGTTTCATTTAAAAAAAAAAATTTAGACTTGACACTTAGAGGACACATGTATCCATTGCTTAAACACATATGTCCATTGATTAAATACGTACGGAAATAATTATAAATTTGAACAAAGTAACTTAGAATGAGATGATAAAAGAAAAATAATATCAATTTATAAAAATTAGTGTTATATTGCTTTTATTTATTATATTGGAATCATATATCTATATAATAAAGCAGGATGGTTTTGAATTTGTCATACACACATTTGTCTTACTAGGACATTTGGACGGCTCAGATCTATTCTAATTATAAAACAACAACTGAGATATATTTTTCAAAAATATCCTACATGTACATTTTCTATTTTCCCGCTTCTGTCTTTTACTTTTTCTTTTTTTCACCCATCCTTCTATGATCCTATGATCCCATCTTTATCTCTCTTTTCTTTTGACTTTTTATTTTCTTCCATTTTTATTTTTCTCTCTATTTATTTTTTTTCCTCATTTTTGTTCACTTATTTTTATTCATATTATATGGAAAAAGTCTGCGATCCCAAAATTAGGAGCTAGATTTTACTGTGTGTGATTAAATTAATGGATTTTATAGTCCACAAATTAAATAAATTTAAACAATTAATTATTATTTTTAGAGTGGTGATTTAGAGCACTAAATTTGAAGCTCTAAAAACATCACTAATGAGGTGGCAATGTAAAATAAAATAAAATAAAATAAAACAAAGGCCAAACTATCACATCAGTGGTGGGGTCCACATGATGCCACATCATTAGTGGTGTTAAATTAGTGGTATGAAGCATTTTTCTTATTTTTAAATATATTGAATACTTAGATAGATTTCATAAATTTAGACCTTATATGAATCTTCAACATCTATATAATAAAGCAGGACAGTTTTTGAATTTGTCATACACATATTTATCCTATTAGGACATTTGGACGACTCAGATCTGTTTTAGTTATAAAACAACAACTGAGATATATTTTTCAAAAAATATCCTATATGTACATTTTCTATTTTCCCGCTTCTCTCTCTTACTTTTTCTTTTTCTCACTCATCATTCTATGATCCTATGATCCCATGTTCGTCTCTTTTTTCTTTTATTTTTTATTTTTTCCCATTTTTTTCTCTCTATTTGTTTTGTTTTGTTTTTTTCCTCATTTTTGTTCACTTATTTTTGTTCATATTATATGGAAAAGTCTGCGATCCCAGAATTAGGTGCCAAATTTTATTATGTGTAGTAGAGATTAAATTAATGAATTTTATAGTCCACAAATTAAATGAATTTGAACAATTAATTATTATTTTTAAATATATTGGATACCTAGATAGACTTCATAAATTTAAATCTCATATGAATCTTCAACATCTATATAATAAAGCAGGATGATTTTTGAATTTGTTATACTCACATTTGTCCTACTAGGACATTTGAACGGCTTAGATCTATTTAAATTATAAAACAACAGCTGAGATATGTTTTTCAAAAAATATCCTACATGTACATTTTCTATTTTCCTACTTCTCTTTCTCTTACTTTTTCTTTTTCTCACTCACCCTTCTATGATCTCATGATCCCACCTTCCTCTCTCTTTTCTTTTTATTTTTTTTCCCACCTTCCTCTCTCTTTTCTTTTTATTTTTTTTGATTTTTCTCTATATTTGTTTTTTTTTTCTTCTTCTTTTTGTTCAATATATTTTACACATATTTTCATATAATGTTTGTATGCTCGTAATACATTAGGACATTACGGGCATACATACAATTTCTATATAATTATATAAGAAAAAACAGTTTTGTATGTATATCTGTAAAAATTGTATGTATGCTAGGCACATTTATCGATCTACCTATATATTATATAAATAAATGCGAGTTTTTGTGAGGAGTTTTGTGAAAACTCCAAAATTTTATAATAAATTTGTAATTTTATCAAATTAAAAAATAAATTTAAATAATATTAAGATTATAATTATATTCTAATCCTAACATTATTTACGCGCCGTCAGACACGGGCATCTTGCATTTTTTAAAATTGCCGTGTCATCGTGTCATTGCCTGTGCTTCTTGAGTCCAGATCCCCTCCTTGAGGCCCCTCCTTAATTCCCTCCTTGCAGGGGCCTTCGGGTCTACTTTGAGGCCCAGTTTTGATAATCCGAACCGTTCATATTTTTAGATTTATTCAGTATATTATACTTGTAAAAAATCAAGTTGATCGGATATCAGAAAGTATGCGTTCAGAAAATTGGGACTACAAACTATTTTTTAATAAACAATTTTCCGAACACATACTTTATGATATTCGATCAATTTGATTTTTTACAGGTATGATATACTGAATAAATCTAAAAATATTAACGGTTCGAATTATCAAAACTGGGCCTCAAAGTGGATCCGAAAGCCCTTGCAAGGAGGGAATTAAGGAGGGGCTCAAGGGGAGGATCCCAATTCGTGCTTCTTCGCCTATTGGGTACTTCATTTTAGGATATCGTTGGCACTTGTAGTCCTACATCTGATTTTATATTCCTCATCTAAAGTATAAAAAACGCGAGAAGGCTAGAACTGTTTGACTGGTTTTATTTTAGGTCTTGTCATATGCTCAGGGATGAGATCTAGTTGATCAAAACCATGTAGATCTCCAGGCTAATGTGTTCTACTAACCCAATTCTGGTAGTGTTATGATCATCCTAGTGATTTCACCTTGGATGCACAGGGCCAGAGGAACACATCTGTTGGGTAGCGTGGATTTCATAAGCATTGGCCACAAATCATCCGAATTTTGGAGTAAAAGTTTGGCATTTTCACACTTGTGACTTGTAGTTCTAAATCTTTGTATATGTAGTTGAGGGGATGGCTATCTATGTATCTCACTTGTAACTCTTTTTTAATCATAGTGAAACCGCTGGGTGGGACCGTGGACATAAGCCTAGTTTTGGGGTGAAGCACTTCAGCTTGTATTCTAGTGTGGATGTGTAATTTACATTTCTTGTTTATTTGTTCTTCTTTGTTTTCGTGTCATATGGATCATGGTTAGGGTGTTCACAATTCCTAAATCTTGTGTTCTGCATCCTGGGTCGTCCCTAGGAAAATGCAAAAACTCAGTTGGGTGATAAAAGCAGAACTAGATGAATCCTTTGTTAACAAAATCCAACAAAAATGAAATTAGCATTTACATAATAGCTCATCAGATCCAACATTAGCAACATTCATAGACATAAAAAGGAGAAAGAAAATATAAAATAAAATTGAATTCAGAAAGAGATGAACATATTCAACAATTTTACATATCAAGCCAACAAATAGGTTACTACTTCCTCCTTACCTCTCCAGTCTTCCTTTCTTAAGGGAAAACAGAGGAGGCAGGGTATTGTTCTTTCCTTGTGTGCAAATCGGTACATTAATCATAGGTCTCATTGTTAAACTTGCTGATCTTGTCCTCTCCAACCCTTTCTTTATCCTCTTGATACGTTTCTCTATGTTCCCTGACCTTT